CTTGTTTAGTCCCAGTAGGAATTTGTAAATCCTATCTTTTTCCACCAGTTCCTTATACTTCTTTTGATCTTCTGAGCAACACCATGTAACCTCTTCATATATGTCGAGTTGCTGCCAGTGTTTGTTAAGTATGTTAAAATACTCGGTAACAGAAGATTCTCCCTGTCGAAGGTCATGAAGAATGCTTTTTATCTCAAATATGACAGATGTATTGTCAACATTTGAGTATGTTTCCTTTACTGCATCATTACTTGCAGTGTCAAATGTTTCCTTTCCTTTACTGCATCTCAAATATTTCTTTTGCAGTGTCATAGAACATGAAATTTTCACCAACTTCATTTGTCACGGTATTGAGCAGCCATGACATTACTTGGTTGTTCTCAAGTTTTCATTTCTGAAAGTTTTTGTCTCCGCTCTCGGGACATTTAGAATCTCCTGTGGTGTAGCCTTCCCTTCCTTTTCCTTCGAGGAAGATCTTGACTGACCTTACCCATTGGGTATAGTTTTGACCATTTAATTTATGGCCTGTGATGAGGTGAGTGAGCCCTTTGTGTGAACTGGTTGGAAATGATCCAGTCTCCACTTTGAGCAATTCATCAACTTTGGGATCCTCCATAGTTTGGCGGCGCTAGGTTAGGGATGGTTCAGATCGTGCTCTTGTATTTATAGAATACAGAAGGCAATATTTGAAAGAGAAATCTGCCCTAAGAATCAGGGGAATTAATTTCCCATAAAAACTAATTCTAATTATAGAAAACAGGAAATAATAGCTAACTAATTACAATAATCCTAATCCTAATGGGCTGTACAAACAGAATCATTTTGATTCTGTATTGATTATTCCATACTTTCTTTCCACCACACCATTTTGATGGTGAGTGAGGACAGATAATTGTGCGCACAATCCATAAGTCAGTCAGAAATTTGCTAAATGGGCGAAATTCCCCACCCCAATCTGACTGAACAGCCTTGATGAAAAAGCCAAGTTGCAGTTCCACAAGAGACTTAAATTGCTTGAAGACACCAAGAGCTTCAGCGTTGGATTTAAGTAAATATAGCCAGGTAAATTTGGAGAAGCCATCAACAAAGGAAATGTAATAATTGAACCCTTGTGCAGAGGGTTGAGGAGCAGGCCCCCACAGATCACAATAAACAAGCTCTAAAGGATGATGATAAGTGGTGTGTGAAGATGGTGAATGCAATCTATGTGCTTTACCCATGCAACAAGCAGAACAGAAATAGTCATGATTTTTATTGCTGAAATTGATATTACAACTTTGTAGCACCAATCTCAAAGTGTTAACATTTGGATGGCCTAGCCTTAAATGCCAAACATTGGATAAAGAGGGAGAAATAGTAACAGAATTAACAGAAGGTACAAGTTTATTTGAAGAATCTAAAGACTTGGCAGATTTTGAAACATTGAGCAATGAAACTCGTATAAGCCATCTGAACCAACTTGACCTACCAGCAAAACAGCATTAGACACCTGACATTTGACAAAGCAGGAATTGGCTGTTAATAGGAAGTAAACATTATTGTCACGACAAAACTGACTCACACTTATCAGATTCTTGGTAATAGAGGGCACATGTAATAGATTATTAAGTATGAGAGGTGTGTGAGGGTGATTTTGTGACAAAAACTGACTAGAACCAGTAGAGTTGATAACTAAATCTTGGCCATTTCCTATGTAAATCTGTTCATGACCTTCAAGAAGAGTAACTTGTTGCAAGTTACTAGCATCATTGGTAACATGATAGGAAGCCCCTGAATCAGGATACCAAGACATAGCTGAAGAAGAAGGAGCAGCATTTGCAATGAATGTACTGGGAGCAGGATAGGCAACTGCTGGCCTTGCTTGAGGACTTGGAGGCCTAGTCCACACATTTGCAGAAAATTGACCATAAGGCACCTGAGAACTGACCTTGCCAAGGAGTTGCAGTGTAAGGATTACTACTGTAGGAAGGAGGCTGAAACTGCTGATAGAACCTGTGCCGGCAATTGAAGGCAGAATGACCAACTTTGGAACAAACTTGGCACTGAATAGAGGAATTCCTGCCACCTCTGCCTTTGCCACAACCCCCTCTGTTAGACCTACCACCTCTGAAACTGGAATACTCAGGCTCAGCATGAGAGGAAGCAACCTGAGAGTTAGTAGAATCACTGCTTCCAGATTGAGGAATGTCAGGGGAAGATGACTGAGGAGAAGTGTATGTAAGATTGAGAGATCCAAGATCAGGTATAGTTGATTTCTTGAATTTGTTCAGCCTCAGTTCATGTGCAATCAGGAGGATTTCAACCTCATCTAGATCCATATCTCCAAATTTGCTCTCAACAACTGATACTACAGGAGCATACTCACTAGGGAGTCCTTCAAGAATCACATCAATGTGATGAGAACTTGGAATAGGATCACCAATAGACGCCAGTGCATCAACAATCATGTGTAAACAAGTAATCAGAAACAGATTGGGAATCAAGTGTTAGGGCACACATTTCAACACGCAATTGGCATGCACGGGCGCGAGTTTGCTTCTGAAAATAACTAAACAAGTGATCCCACAGTTGATGCGAATGAGCGCATCCAAGCACACGAGACAGAATTTCACTTGACAGCATCGATTGAAGCCAAGAAAGCAGTAATTGATCCTTTTGGAGCCAAATCAAGTACGAAGGATTGATCATACCTTGACGGCAAGCGTCATCGTTCAGAAATTTGGGAGGAATCCAAGTGCAAACGACAAGATCTGTGAGGTTATGTGCGTTGATGTAAGGCTCCACTTGTTGGCGCCACAGATGGAAGTTCTTCTCATCGAGCTTGTGCGCGATCTTGAGAGAGAACTATAACCAGCGAGAATCATCAGTCGCCGCCATAGGCGGTGAAGATGGCGACGTAACGTGAGCGGAAGACGGCGATCCCGGTGGAGAAGTGGACGCCACGGATCGAACCTAACAAGCTGATACCATGATAGAATTCATAGAGAGTTTTTCATTTCTTGTATAACAGAATTCTGTTGTCTTCTAAAGTTGGTTACAAATGATAGCACACAGTTGCATTTATAGTAGCAACTGTGTGACCTGCTATAGCAGGTTATTTCCTGATACAACCTGACACATGTCAGTTTTACAAGGCTACCCTTTCTATCTTAGCTATATTCTAATAACACAAAGGAGAACTATCTTCTCTCACGCTTGAATTCCAGCCAAAGTGCAATCTAAAGAGCAAGACACTCGGATCGCTAAATCCTGGTACAGTGGCAAGACAAATCAATAGCTGATGCAACCTGGGAAGACATGATAACAATCCAGGAACAATTCCCAGACATATCAACCTTGAGGACAAGGTTAAGCACTTAGAGCTGTTACGCAGTTAGTATTTTCTGTTATAGTAATTTGTTAGTCCTATGTATTATAAATAGCACTATGATAGAACCCAAAAAGTTAAGGTAACAAATGTATATTATTGAATGGAAATGGATGAGCTTAAGAGCTCTACAGTGGAGGAAAAACAGAAAAGAAAATAATATACCAGAGTCCAAGACTCCTACTCCAAAGCAAAACTCCTAACCAACTCTAATAATATCTTTGAACGAATTACTCACTACCCTTCCCTCTATCTTATAACAGAAGATTCCCTAAAATCAAGGAGAGTGCTAACTAACATTTATTCTCTCTCCTGGCCCCACTTTACCCCTCAGGTTCCTCCTATCAGGGAGAGTGCAAACTAACATTTGTCCTCAAGGTTGTTGGAATTGGTTTCTATCACTCTTGATGTGAGATCTTTCAATCCACTTGAGACACAAATAGCTATTGGGTCTCGCTTCGAAAATAAAACGGGACAGCAACTGCACCCCACAATGCTGTGGAATGTGAGGGAATTTCTCCAGCAGAGTCCATAAGCAGCCGCGATCATAACAACAGTGGGTTTCCCTTGGTCAAATGGTATGACCAAAACAGATGAATGCAAGTGCAACATTTCAAAAGCAAACTCATAGTCTTCATTCCCTCCACACATCGCTATCATTGCCTTACAAAATACCAACCCATCCGGTTTTGTCCAGAATTGAACAAGAAACTCATGAGCCCAAAAACATGCCAATATTTCCTATACAACTCAACCAAGGAAGTCGCCAAAGAATTATTTAATATATCAAATACCGACTCTTCTACAATTCTCAACAGAAAGACAATATCATTTACTATATCTTCCATTGCAAAAACCTCTATTTTAAGAGTAGACATCAGTATTGTGATTGCCATTATTCTATTCAAGCTTGTTAGCATGGCCAACTTCTTACTGCAGCTTGCTATAGTTTCAGTTGGGCAACTTGTTGCTTGTTACTGCATAATGCCCATTCTAGGACTCCATTGCAATTTAAAGGGAATTAAATTAACCCTCAGATCAAAAAGAAGCCACATAATTGCAAACAAATCGATGTTAAAGTATTTGTTCTTGGGGCTGCTGCAGTATTTTTAATACATGGATGCAAAACTATTTGGTGAAGAGTAATCAAAACGACTAGCCTTCGACAAAAATCGAAATAATAGCATTACCCACACTTCATCACTTTTAGGTAATTGTTACATTGGTAGAAAACCTTATTTGCATGGAGTGTGGAGCTGAAAGATAACTCTTCTCACTAATCTTTAAATACCCCTGCCCCTTTCTTATGACCTGCACTGGTCCAAATTCATTTGCATATGACTGTAATACAAGACACGAGTTATTCACCTCCACCAAATTTTTATCCCTCTTGTTGAGGTATGTGGCCTTTGGCTTGAGCTGCTTCAGAGGAGTCGCCGTAGGGGCTCGTAGAGGGATGCACACCGGACACAACAATGGACAATGTCTAATTTGTGCATTCAAGTTGGGCTCACCAAATATAATTTGACCTGTAATGGCAAACAGATTCTGCGTTTCTTGGATCTTTCAGACCACAGCACTTGGATATGTGTTTGTCGGTGGTTCTCGCCGTGGCAGAACCGTCACATGTTGATTAGAGTTTGGCAGTTCCAATGGCTCCGGTGGTTTCTTCAACGGTCTTGATGTAGGTCTTGGACTTATTTAGATCGGCGTTGCTACCACTAGCACACCAGCTCCCGAGGAGCTCTGTCGCATGTTGAGTGACTAGGTTACCTTTGGTGGTTCCTGCATTTTCTCAGTCCGCTTCACTTGATGAGAAAAAGTCTTACCAACTCACCCTCACGCACGTTCTCTTTTGGATCTACTTCCTTCTTCTTCGCCGTCTTAGATTTGGAAACTGAATCTTCACTATAAGAGAAGGAATGAGCACGTCTTGAAGAACAGTGATCTCGCATTTAGGTAAACTTTGTAATCATTATTTGACGGAATTCCTCCTTCTTTTGTGTCGAGAAGTTCTCCATTGTTGTGATTCTCACTTCCAGAGCATCCAATCGCTTGCACATTTCCGGCGACATCTACGGTGACATGACTGAGATTGCAACTTCACTAGCTCCTCTCGATAATCCAGCAGGCCGAACCAATGATAGAACCCAAAATTAAGGTAACAAATGTATACTATTGAAAATAATTGGATAAGCTTAAGAGCTCTACAATGGTGGCAAAACAGAAAAGGAAATGATAAACCAGAGTCCAAGAGTCCTACTCTAGAGTAAAGCTCCTAACCAGAGATAACTCTCCTCCTAACCAACTCTAACAAAATTTCTGAATGAATTACTCACTACCCCTCTCTTATATAACAGAAAATTCCCTAAAATCAAGGAGAGTGCTAACAAACTTTTATTCTCTCCCTGGCCCCACTTTTCCTTTCAGGTTCCTATCAGACTAAAATTCCTTTAGAAGGCTCTAGCAGTCTAAAACTCGTTTAGAAGTATTAGAGATATAAGGGCCATCCTGTAATATTCTAGTATAAGGGAATTAGACTAGTGTCTAATTCCATTTCTATCCCTTATCCTTTCTATATAAAGGATCGTTGTAACTTAATCAATTTAACAATAACAAATTCTGTTTTGCATTTTCCCTCTCTCTCTTCTCTTTCTCTTCACTCTTTTGCTTCTCTGTTTTCTATCATGGTATCCAGAGCTTATCTCTGATCCTCGGTGCGCATGGCTTCTCCGTCGCCGTCTTCCACCGCAAGCAGTGACAGCTCCGCCGCTGCTAACTCCACCTTCAAACAAAAGATCTCAGTCAAGCTTGATGAGAACAACTATCGACAGTGGAAACAACAAGTTGAAGGAGTTCTTCATGGCACAAAAATGGTGCGATTTGTCGTATCACCTCAGATACCGGAAAGGTACCTCACTATTGCCGATCGCGACACCGAAACTGAGAACCCTAACTTCGTCGCGTGGGAAGAACAGGATGTGCTGCTGCACACGTGGTTGTTATCCACGATTTCAGATTTGCTCCTCTCTCGTTTCGTTCTTCTTCGTCACTCATGGCAAGTCTGGGAAGAAATTCATGCGTTCTGCCATACGCAAATGAAGACTCGGTCTCGTCAACTCAGATCGGAGCTTCGCTCCCTCTCGAAAGGTACTAGAACCATTTCTGATTTTCTTGCTCGCGTTCGCACTATCGTAGATACGTTAATGTCAATTGGTGATCCAGTCCTTCATCGTGACCAAATTGAACTGATTCTTGAGGCGTTACCATCGGAATTTGACTCGGTTGTTGTTGTTGTTAACTCTAAGACTGATTTCATCTCAATTGATGAATTGGAATCGCTTCTCCTCACTCAAGAAGCTAGAGTGGAGAAATCCAAGAAAGAAGTTGTAGAGACTGTCTCTGTGAACCTTACTCAAGGTAATGTGCCAAGTTCCAATCTCAGTCCCCAAAATCCTGATATCACTGACTCCAGTGGTGGAAATTTCCAAAGCTTTGGTCGTGGTAGCTATTCTCGTGGCAGAAACAATAGAGGAGGAAGGTTCAGAGGACGTGGTGGCCGCAACGGCTACAGAAACTCTGTGCAATGTCAGATATGCTATAAACCTGGCCATGATGCTAGCTATTGCTACTACAGACACTCTCAAGACTCTTATGGTGTCTATCCTGCTTATGGTGCTCCTGCCTCCTTTGGAAATTTTGGCTTCAGTCAACCAAATGTGTGGACTCAACCTGGATTTAGGGCTCCAAGTCCTTCAACTGTGAATCAAGCTAGACCTATGGCGCCTGTCATGGCTTCTCAGTACTCTGGTGCAAGGCCTCAAGCACTGATTGCTGGCACTGACTGTTCTTCGTTCTACAACCAGGCGTGGTATCCTGACTCCGGAGCTTCACATCATGTGACTCCAGATGCCACAAATCTTACTGATACTATATCTCTGCCTGGTAATGATCAGGTTCACATTGGCAATGGCCAAGGTCTGTCCATAACTTCTCTTGGTTCTATGACTTTTCCTTCAAATTTATGCCCTAACACTTCTTTGAAACTGAATAATCTTCTTCTTGTTCCATCCATTACTAAAAATCTGTTGAGTGTGAGTCAGTTTGCCAAATGTTGTATTTTTTGAGTTCCATGCTAATGCCTGTTTTGTGAAATGTCAGGGTACTTCTAAAGTGCTTTTGAGTGGTTCCCTTAGGAGTGATGGTCTTTATAAGTTCGACCGCACTCCTTCTCCTACTTCCTCTCAAGTCCTCAGTGTTGTTTGCAAGTCATCTGGCTTTCAACATCCTTCTTTGGAATCTAGCTTTGTGTTCAATTCCAGTTGTAATAATAGGAACTTAGATTTTGTTTCCAGACTGTACAAATTGTGGCACCACAAGTTGGGTCACCCTCATCATGAGGTTCTTAAACAAGTTCTCAAACTATGTAATATTTCAATTCCTATAATAAACAGTTTTCTGACTTCTGTAATGCCTGTTATATGGGTAAGGTACATAGGTTACCATTTACCTCATCTAAAAATGTTTACTCCAAACCCCTTGAACTTGTGTTTTGTGACTTGTGGGGGCCCTCACCAGTTCCCTCCATCTCTGGCTATTCATATTTTCTCACCTTTGTTGATGCTTATAGCTGTTATACCTGGATTTATCCTCTAAAATTAAAATCGGACACACTTGCCACATTTATTCAGTTTAAAGCTCTTGTTGAACTACAACTCAATCTCAAAATCAAGTCTGTGCAAACAGATGGTGGTGGAGGTGAATTCAAACCTTTGACACATTTTCTATCCATGCATGGCATAACACACAGAGTTACATGTCCACATACTCATCACCAAAATGGTTCTGTGGAACGTAAACACAGACATGTTGTGGAGACAGGTCTCACTCTTCTTGCTCAGGCTAACCTACCCTTAAAATTCTGGGATCATACTTTCCTCACTGCTACCTACCTCATAAACAGGCTTCCATCTCCTTCCCTGCTACAAGTTTTCAATTTTTTGCTGTATTTTCAATTTCCTGACTACAAGTTCTTAAAGGCCTTTGGCTGCTCATGTTTTCCTCATCTCAGACCCTATAATTCTCACAAACTTGCTATGCATTCTAAGGAGTGCTTATTCCTTGGCTATTCTCCACCCCACAAAGGCTATAAATGTCTTGATCCCACTGGCATAATATTTGTGTCTAAGGATGTAATATTCAACGAGCACAAGTTCCCATATACTTCCCTATTTCCTGACTCATCATCTAAATTTGTTTCAAAACCCTCCACTACTCCCTTTTCTGGACCTCCATCTGGACATCATATTCCCCTTACATTTGTTGGTCCTCACTCATACTTTCAGCCACCTACTAATTCCCTTGGTTCTCCTAGCCGACAACCTTCTTTCAGCAGCATTAATCCTGACCCTGTTGTACCTGTTTCTCCCTCCCAGTCTGCTTCTATTTGTCAACATTTAGTCCATCCTGAAACATCTTCTGCTGACTCTTCAGCTGTGTCTCCTCAAGTTGGTATTGAGTCCTCCTCAGTGGTCATTGGCAACAGCACAACCTCTTCTCCATTCACTGAACACTCCACCCCTGCTCCATCTGTTCATCCTTTTAACACTCATCCCATGGTCACTAGAGCTAAGGATGGTATTGTTCAACCTAGGCTGCACCCCACTCTCCTTCTCACTCACTTGGAACCAACCTCACATAAACAAGCTCTATCCATTCCTGAGTGGCAAACTGCTATGAAAGCTGAGTATGAAGCATTAATTAGGAACCACACTTGGTCTTTGGTGCCTGTTCCTGATCACAGAAAACCTATTGGCTGCAAGTGGGTTTTTAAAGTCAAAGAAAATGCAGATGGGACAATTAATAAATATAAAGCAAGATTGGTTGCTAAGGGTTTCCATCAGGTTGAAGGCTTTGACTATACTGAAACATTTTCACCAGTTGTGAAACTCATTACAGTGAGGACTGTTTTAACACTTGCCATATCTAAAGGTTGGACCATACAGCAAATTGATGTCAATAATGCTTTTCTAAATAGAGTGCTTAATGAAGAGGTTTATATGGTTCAACCACCAGGTTTTGAAAAGGGTGAGCCTGGTCTAGTTTGCAAGCTACACAAAGCCCTATATGGGCTTAAACAGGCTCCTAGGGCCTGGTTTTATAAGCTTAAAGGGTCTCTTCGCCAACTGGGTTTCACTGCCCCACTTTTATTCTCTCTCCCTGGCCCCACTTTTCCTTTCAGGTTCCTATCAGACTAAAATTCCTTTAGAAGGCTCTAGCAGTCTAAAACTCGTTTAGAAGTATTAGAGATATAAGGACAATCCTGTAATATTCTAGTACAAGGGAATTAGACTAGTGTCTAATTCCATTTATATCCCTTATCCTTTCTATATAAAGGATCGTTGTAACTGAATCAGTTTAACAATAACAAATTTTGTTTTGCATTTTCCCTCTCTCTCTCTCTTCTCTTTCTCTTCACTCTTTTGCTTCTCTGTTTTCTATCAAGAAGGCTCGAGAATTCATTTAACATAAACATTGTAAACTAGAGATGGCTCTAGTCAAGGGGATTAGAGTCGTCTGTGTAATTTCTTTTGTCATGAATAAAACTATTCAAGATCAGCCTTTATCTTCTTTGGTTGACTGGATTAGAACTGCTTTATACCAGTTGATAGAATAGAAACCAACTAGTTTTATCAAGAATGAGAGACGATTCATGTTCACAAAATGATTTCTAGAGTATTTGACCAATGCGAAAAGTATTTGACAAATGCCAAAAATCCCCTAAGCCTATGCAAATAACATGATATATCACTCTCTAGGGATCCTTAAAATATATAGCAGCATGCCTTATTTCCTAATTAACTACTCCCTCCGTTTCAAAATGACCATCGTTTTAGTAAATAAAATTTGTTTCAAAATGACTGTCATTCTCATTTTTCAATGTAAAAATCATTGT